TGCCCCAGAACGGATTGGATTTCACCGCCTAATACTCTGTGAGGCGATTCAACCCAACGTTCCAAATCGGGCAAAACTTGAAGCGCCTAAAGACATCCCAATCGGGCAAACCCCGGCGCCTGCCCTCTGATATATACTCCCACCTCCTCTCCCTTTCCCCCTCGTCGACGCCCCCTCCCCGGGCGTCGCGCTGCTCAGCGGGATACCCGCTGAGCACGCGTTCGCCGTTCTGGTGCAGGGGCAGCCCCTCCCGCCCGCCCCGCCTTCTCGCTTATTCGCACACCTGCCCCCTCGCGTACCCGCCCTCTGCCCCGCTCGCGTGCTCCTCGCCCGCTCTTCGCGCCCTCGCCTGCCCGCTTTCCGCGCACCCGCGCCCGCGCACTCTCCGCTCCCTCGCCCGCTCGCTACTCTCCTCGCCATCGCCCGCGCTCTGCGCTCTCACCTGCCTGCTCGCCTCGCTCATCTACCCGCCCGCCCTGCCTCTGTGCTCGTCAGATGCACCGGCTAGCTGCGATACTGCGCGCCACGCGCCACGCGCACAATCCCTGCCGCTTCTTTCACCCGGTATGTACGCACCCTAGCCTGTGTTTGCTTTACACGTCCTCGCGCGCGGTGCGCGCCGCCGTACATCCTCTCTGTGTGAGTTCCCTATGTCTTCGCGCGTCGCCACTACGCTCTGGCTCTGCCTTTTGTGCTTACTGCGGTGAGTAATGCATTTCTTCCGTCGCCATAAATAATCATCATGCTGATCATGCGTTATGATTTTCTAGAGATCTCTCTCAAGTGCATCCTCCAGGGGTATACTCCTGTACAAATGTAGGTCTCAGCCAGTTTCCTGATGCTTGTATGCTCACTGTACAGCTATCCGTCAGGTCGTGCGTCACCGCCATGCATAGCTGCTGCCTATGCGATGCAGCCCGGGGAAGTGCAATTGGTGAGTTGTTTTATCCTTTCTACCCTTAGGTCGTCAGAGTACTAATGACCTACATGTGGCTCAAAGCTTGCCACTACGGCTGTTAGTGTCCAAATAAGGTACGTTTAGGGTCAGTTGTTTATAAGGCACGTAGTACGATGTAAAAGGTGTAGAAAGCGGCGCTCATCCAGTGCCGCTCGTCCCATGTGGTTTGGCTGACCATAAAGAATGTCGTACGTCAGTTTGTATTCAGACGTAGTGTAGTCCTGTATAGACATGTGTCAATAAATTATTATACGAGCATCGGCCCGATTAATATGTCTGCTTGGAGATCTAGTAAGTAATCGATAGGTGTAGTCCTGACGTCCAATAAGTATGGCGGTACTTACGAAGTCAGAACACCTGCACTAAGTATGAGCGTGGTTCTCATTCCAAGGGTGCGTATGCAGGCAAGTAACAAGTAAGCAAACAATAAGTATTACGCGGGACTGAGGCGTACGACTACGCGCGATGTGTCTATAAGTACGGTGCGCCGCCGGGAACAAATGAAATACTAATCAAGTAAAGTACTTGTTTACAACTTCGGGCGCGGGCGGGAAACGAGGCGCGGAATCGTAAGTTAGAGAGAGCGTTGGATAACCTACAGTAAGGGCCGGTCCGATCGCGAGGCAGGGCGCGAGGCGGGCTCGCGGTCGCACCAGGTATTTACCGCGCGTCGGAGGATGCGGCGGGCAGGTTTGACACTCACACAAGTCAGTAGATTGCAATTGTCAGACGGTCTCAGTACTATAACACATCCGGGGATGATGCAAGTTGGGCGCAAGGTGGGGACCACCCACCCCGGCGGGCCCGGCACGAGGCCTAGATACCGCACTCACCGCTCGGCGGGCCTGCGAGAGTACCCCACACACTGGGAATAGTATTGATATTTCATGAGTAATGTATAGGTGGTAGTAAAATTGTAGGCCAGTACTATGAGACTGGGTCGCAAGCTCAGCACGGGTAGAGGACTCGGAACGTAACAAGGTAAGTACGAGCAGATCTAGAGTTAACGTTGCACTACTACTCAATGCCTACTACAGTCAGACATCATCCGCACCGGTGTTCCCGTACAGACACAGATGACGTGGTAGTACGCGATTGTCTGCAGGTACATGCCACAGCTGCATTCATTCCGGCGTGGTGAGTTGCTGCTACGCCGGTGACCGACCAAACCCACTTGTTAAATCAGCGTACATTAAATATATGCTGGCCCGGTGCGAGCGGGCAACCGTACTAGCTCGGAACGAGCGCCTCACACCGGACAGGGAAAGTGCAAGAACGAGGTTGATGGGGGGGGGTACTACAGGACTAAGTACTGGTACAGGGCAAGTGAGAGAGGAGGGCGAAAGCTTCGACGCCGCACTACTACGAGCATTAGTCTGTTGAAGAGAGATAACTGCGTAGTCCCGGAGGGCGTATGCTAGTAATACTGGATATCAGCGGCGAAGTGCTCGATCGATCCAGACTCGCTTGGAACGCCTACGAGCGTGGCCTGACAAGTGCGTTCAGCCGAGTGCAACTTTGAACGGATAACATTACTAAGGAATCTAGACGGCAAGTATGTACTAGACGGCTCACGACGTCTGAGCCCCCAAACATGACTTTGTATGTGGTACCGCAAGTCAGACGAGCATTTGTAGAAATATATTGAGTAGAATGTCGGGACATGTCTAACGCACATACATGCACAGGGACTAACTATATAGACGTACTGATAGTGTCGGCGTGCTGTTTACCAACTGCACGCCGAATGCTACACGTGGTATCTACTTGTACCGCATTCATTACCTATAACAAAACATGTTGGCATCACGCTCACCGTCAAGGGCAAAGGACCCTGGACGAGCTAATCACAGCGACGGATATGATAGGCATCATAGACAGTGCCTGTACAAGTCTCAGATTAGCCATAAGGGTATTGTAATCACCAGCTCGTAATTGACGTACCTTGGGATGAATCGCAGCAGCTGCATGCTGAGGTCTGCTGAGGTGGGGAGGAGAAAAACACATCCTAGAAAGGCTACATCGGGCGCAGTCGCCGCGGGGGTGAGTACGAGTGAAAAGCAGCATATTGGTACACATACCAAGGGCGGCAGATAGGCGGCAGCTCACGAAGGGGTGGCCGCTGCAGAGAGCCGCTTCACTAACGAGGACCACGTGCATAGAGGCAACGCGCGGAGGAGGTGGCGACGCAGACGGGAAGACGCGTGCGCATAAGTTCCACATTAGGCAGCGAGAGCAGAGCGAGCGAGGGGAATGGGCGCGGGCGCGGAGAGCAGGCGGGCATGAAGAGTGGCGAACGGGCGAGCAAGGAAGCGGACAGGCGAGGACGCGGAGAGCGGGCGAGGGTGAGGAGAGTGGCGGACGGGCGAGGGAGCGGAGAGTGCGCGGGCGCGGGTGCGCGGAAAGCGGGCAGGCGAGGGCGCGAAGAGCGGGCGAGGAGCACGCGAGCGGGGCAGAGGGCGGGTACGCGAGAAGGCGGATACGCGAGGGGGCGGGTACGCGAGGGGGCAGGTGTGCGAATAAGCGAGAAGGCGGGGCGGGCGGGAGGGGCTGCCCCTGCACCAGAACGGCGAACGCGTGCTCAGCGGGTATCCCGCTGAGCAGCGCGACGCCCGGGGAGGGGGCGTCGACGAGGGGAAAGGGAGAGGAGGTGGGAGTATATATCAGAGGGCAGGCGCCGGGGTTTGCCCGATTGGGATGTCTTTAGGCGCTTCAAGTTTGCCCGATTTGGAACGTTGGGTTGAATCGCCTCACAGA